GGTTACTTTCTAGGGTGGTTGAGCATTACATGTCGCATGGACCCGGGTGGACGTTTCCAAGTGAATGGCACCATAATGACGCGTGGGCAAATCACCCAACCCTGGGAGGCACGTCACAGTTTCCCGCTTCCTGAAGCGGGAAACTTGTGTGTGTTTTTTCTTGTTTGTTTGTCTGCTTCGTTTGTCAAGTCCGTGGATTGATTCAGGTACAGGGCCAGGGCTCATCCATCGCATTCAACTCAAGTCACGACATAAAGACCCAAACCACTAACGAAAGAAATCCATCCCAACGCTGTCCAATATTCTCCAATTCTACAGTCCCTCTGGTATGGGGAGCCAACTATGTATCCCACCCCGGAATAAATAAAGGCGGGCGGAAGAAAACACTACTAGTAGATACCAAAGCAGAAGAAATACATGCCGCTGTAACGACAAGTAATCCCAACTCTCCCCCAACCCAGCTTCACGAGGGCAAGAGGGCTCGCTCAGCAGCCCTTGTCCTGAATTAAAGAGACAAGTGGCCCTGATAACCATAATGGAAGTGCAGCCCAGGCTTGCAAGCGCCTGGTAGGAGATTCTCAGGCGGGCAGCACAGGAAGCGCAACCGGAGGCAGTGGAATACCAGCCACACATTTCTGGGGGTTCTAGTTTATTAGAAAAATTCATGGGGATGGCACGTAGTTATAGCCCTGGCGGTCCCCTAGCCGCGCAGGCAAGAGCGCCACCTTGGAGGAAGATGAGATAGCCAGCCATGGTGTCCCTACCTCAACGGAGAAAGCCAATCCAGCATAATTTTTATCGATGATAGCAGCCTGGACAACCTACAGTACATGCCAGCCATTTATTCTGATTCCCCGCTTCAGAAGCAGGAAATAGTGTTCCTAGATGCGCGTGCCGTATCATAGATTGTATACCATAATGCAGTTTTCCATCCCTTCCTCCCTCCAAGACCGACCCCAGTGGACCTGACATCCAGAACTTCTCCATCTTCTATACACACACACTCTTCAACAACTGCCTTCAAGCGATATCGAGAAAAACATTATACACACGTGTTTCGCAGAAGCACGCGTAATCAATCCTCCTCTCCTGGTTCCATACAAATAAACTAAAAACCCATCTTGCCTCTAGAAATGTTATACCCTGTTTGCACTCCCACCTTTACAGTTAACATTCATATGACCACCCTCCCTACACCTCTATTTACTAGTCCACTCCAAGTACTATTCAAGTACTTTCAATGCAAACTCCACCCACCTCACCATCTCACCCTCAACTTCCAGGCTGCACCCTTCCATAAAGTGAATTGCAAGCACACATGCACTGCAATCTACAAGACCAGTGTTTCATAAAAGCTTCTCACAAAACTTCAGATAGATTTACAATGTGACAGTGACCAGCCCCCTCTAACCCAATGTGAAGCAGCACCTTTTTGAGAATTTGCTTGGCGAAAGGTGACACCAGTGCATGGTGAGAGGGATTATGCCAACCCATGAGTGTACAATTATGTTGTTAGTCCTGTGCACTTGGTCCCTGCCCGGGAGTTTTATCCCATCGCATCGCACTTCAAACCTGGCACCGGTGGGCAGCGCAACCGAATTGGACGACGCCCGGCGACAAGGAGCGCAGCAGTCGTCGACGGCGCGGCACAACGCCGGGGAACGTCCTCTGCGTCGGGTTGACGCGACGTCCAGGAGACGCCGGATCCACTCGTGCAACTTTACAGATTAGCTGGGTGTGCTGTGGTGGAAGAGGACGCGACGCGGCCGTCCGCAGGCGCCGAGCCGGCCCGCGGCGCACCCCCACGGACCACGGTAGCCATGTCGGCCAGCCGGCGGGAATTGTACTCGTACGGTACTCGTACAGTACGCCACATCGCACCCGAATCATGCATGATACAACAGCATCCCGCAAGTCCCGTGTCCACGGCACGCCCGAAGCTCATGAAAACGTCTGAGCGTGCGGATTCCGACCCGTGGTGACGTCGAGTCAGTCAGTCAGTCAGTCAGTCAGTCAGTCAGTCAGTCAGTCAGTCAGTCCGCACGTACCCTATCGCACAAACACGCATACCATGGCATCACTCAGGCCATAGTTTCGTTGCACGCAATTATATGGAGGGGGTAGGCTTAAGCTGTGTGCAGTATCATACTCGGTATATACTGTATAAGAACTGATATCCATCCACCAAATACGATGGAAAGCTAGCGTGAATCCAGCAAAGGTCGGTGAGTATTGTAGGAACCGAATAATATATATGCCTCAAACTCTTGGTCCTAAATACGGTAGCCCCCGATTCTTAATCCCGAATCATACTCGTACAGTACTCCTAAATCTGTATGCCTAAAATTATACACTTGTAATGATATGCCCATAATCATACACCCAGAGTAATATGCAAGGCAATACTGCTTGCACATTCTTACACGAAAACAACTTGGGATAGCACTCTACGGTACTTCCCCCCGAATTAACTCACCCGCTTCCGTCGTGGCACTCTGGTCACATAAAAATGGCAAGCACCCACCCGCAAGAACCCGTGTCGCCCAGTAGGTTCCAAAGCCCGGGTATGTATGTATGGCTTTCAGCGAAGGCCAGGATTGCAGTGGTGTGCAGCATGGAGAGATACTCGAGCACACCGTCACGCGATTGCTCAGGGGTTTAGAAGGTGGGTATGATAGCTTCTATGATGACTAGGCTCTGACGTTTTAAGGTAGAGAGTGTGCGTGTGGGGAATAGGAGGATGCTTTGCATCGTACCGCATAACAAGTTGGGATCTGCTTGTGGTGTATCGTACCGTGCTGTGCCGTACAGTTGTCATCATACCTGCGCGGTATGGTATGGGTCTCCCACATTCAAGATTGTGACCTCCAGGTTTGAATACACAGCACTCGTACTCTTCAGACATCACGAGAGATATAGAGTCCCAAGTCTCCATGTATCTTCTCCAAAACTACGCAAAAGACAGTGTGTCATCAACCATTAATCACATCCGTAAATGCAGAGCAGATCATTTCCGCTCATACCCACCCACCTACCCCCCGCATAAATCATTGACATCCCACCTCACATCACCCCATCGCCAGGAAACCCTCCAGCCATCATACCCCCGACACCTAAATCTAGATCTATCCATCATACCTACCACCCGGGCCCAAACGACAGTTGCCACTTTGCCAAACTGGCCTTCAGAGACTCATCATCGCCTTACACAGCACACAAACACGTAACCAAACGTCCCCTCCCGTCCCCTTCCCATCCTTCACCGGATATGCACATGGCATTCTTGCCCCTTCCACCCACCGTAACCTTCATGGTCCACACCCGTCACAGCACAAACTCTAGCATCGATACTGTAGAGCACTCAGCACTTCTGTAAATGTAATAATAATGCCCACTCACACCCCACCCGAATGAGAGTGAGAACACATGAGAATCTATGAACGATGCAGCGAGCGGCATGAGAGGTTAATCAGTTAGTAGGTATAATATCAAAATACGAAGAAGCATATTTACAGCTTAGCGTTCCAGAGGACACTAATTAATCCTCACTCGACATTTATATCATTCGATAGTTACCGGAAATAAAATAAATATTCAAGTCGTGAAAAGCCCCCAAGGAGGCTTGAAAATTATACCCCCGGATTTAGTATTTTCTTCGTAGCGATTGAGGGGGAGAGGGTGGTGATTGACTTTTTTTTTTTTTTGTCTCTACTTTAGAGCCTTGATATATATATAATACGATGTATGGATAGACACCCCCCCCCCCAAATTTTCAAAGGCATAACTACGGACGGTCAAATACGTTGTCAAATGCGCATTGGCAAGACAGCACCGTGGACACTATAATTCCCCAATTTAAACACCACCATTGCCACTAACGGAGCAAGCAAGCAAGCAAAATCCCATCCCGCCTTCGAGCATGAGATGAACAAGTACCGTACTTCCCCATCCACGGCTAACGGCTCCCAGGCCCCTTCGGTACAGGCCCTCAACCGCCATCTGCCAAACCCAACAAACATTGCGAACCCTCAGCGAGCAGCGGCCACACCATTCCATCCGGCACACCCACCCAACAAACATTGCGAACCCTCAGCGAGCAGCGGCCACACCATTCCATCCGGCACACCCACCCAACGCTGCTGGGCAAGTCCCGCGCAGCCGTGGAAGCATGCTGGTGAATGCACCCGGGGCCAAGTAGTGCTGGTGGCGAACACAACAGCAGCCGTAAAAATTGTCTGTTCCGCAAAGTGTAGAATTCAAACCGGGGTATAAGATCCTATACTCTGACTTTTATATACTCCAGCCCGCGGCGGGGCGATAAAGCACATGAAAGGAAATCAGGGGGGCAGCGGGTGTGTAGATACCGCTAGTACTCCTAAAATCAAAAGAAGAGATACTCCACCGTTTCCGGGAAACTATCGCCCGAGAAAACTCTCCCTCTCCCTCTCCCTCCTCCCCCGAGGACGAGGAGGAGGAGAGAATAAAACTACCAATGTCCGAATTCGTTGGCACCTGGATAACAGCGCGCACCTGACCGTCCCCGCGGCAATATCGCGGCGGGAGCGCGTGTGCGGCGGTGAGGACGCCATCATGCGCTACTGCCGTATCGGCTGTGCCAGCGCGAACCTCCTAGTGCGGGAGCTACGCACGCGCGTTACGGAGCGGGAGGGCGGGGATGCGTGCCCGGTGTGGAATGTGGCATTGCCGGTGTTTACCATCGAGTCTGGCCGCGGCCTTGGGCGTCGTAGTAGTGGCGGTGGTGGTGCGGTTCGTGTGTGAGGTGGCGCACGCGAAGCGAGTGACGGACTTCATGGCGAAGTGAATGGTTGAGGAATATGACACTTTCATCGCAGTGGTCGAGAATTACAACGGGGAGCGGTGGGCTATCCGGAGTGTTGGGAAGAAGAAGGGTGAGTGAATCAACGCGGCGCTAGACACGGGCTGTCACTCGGTATTCGCTTCTCCCTTCCTTCCCCTTTCTGCACAACCCGACATGGATTCGATGGGTACAATTGAATCATTAAATGGAATGAAATGATGATATGATTGGTGATCCCTTGACTTTGTCCCTCCGCATTAGGCATGTCCGCTCTCATGACCCACCCACCGACTGGCAGCAAGTATCGCACCGCACCGGGCCCAAGGAAAGGCAAAAGAAATAAACAACCGCATAAACGTGAAATCCGGCTCAACCGAATAAAGAAAAAAGAAGCAAAGGCCAAAAGAGATGGAAAAGGAAACCAAAGCACTTCGTTCAACATTTCCATTCCATTGTAAAACTAATCCAATCAATCCCCATCCGAATACACCTTTACTTCCACTTTCACCCCACTCTCCACGCCCGTCCCTCATTCTGACAAGACAGTCCCATTTTCACCTATCCACCACTAATATTCTCTACTGCGCCTTCTTGGGCGTACCGCCACCACCCAGATACTTCCCCAAATCCGTAAACTCACCAAAGCTCTTGACACCGCTCTTCACGGTGCTCCAAACGTTCTTGGCACCATCGGGAATATTATTATCCGCGGCGAGCGCATTCCCACGGACTTCAAGCCCCTTCAATGCGTCCCTGACGAATGGGCTCTGCGAGTACCTCGTTCGAAGGAAGATGGTATAAATTGCCAAAAGGATCCAAGAGTTCCTAAAGATCAGGGCGCCGCAAAATATGCGTGCCCAGAGGAAGAGTTCCAAGTTCGCTACCAGGTGCATAGAGTAGTCATAGTTGTTCTTGACAAACTTTGCAATGGACTCCGAGAATGCTGATTGCGGTTTGGAGCCACCCGGGGAGGTTGGGGAAGCGGGAGGAGGGGGGAAAATGGTTGGCAAGAGGTTGGTGCGGAGGTATGTTAGAAAGTGGAAAGTGGAGTACACGGCGAACGGGAGGAGAGCGTAGAGGATTGGCTTTGTGTAGAGCCAGATTAAGGCCATGACTATCACATCAGTATCATAGTCATGTTAGCAATTGTCTCCCACGGAAGAGAGAAGAATTGAATGAAAGAAAGATAAACGTACATAAATACTGGACATTCTCGTCCCCCAACACCTTCATAACGCCGGCTTGCCCTCCGGGTAATTGCCCGCTGCGGACACGGGGTCGGTAAGCCTTGTAAACGACGATGCCGTAGGTCACCGCCGCGCTAAGGAAGCCGAGACGATAGCAGAGGCTAGCTACCCGGGTATTTGTGGAGAATTTTAGGGCTGCGAGGGCGTAACGAAGAGTGGTTAGGAGGAGGGTGAAGTGGCTGTCGTTGTTTCACACTCACGGTTTGTTAAAGAAGCGGACAGTATAGATGGAGAGGAGGAAAGACATACCCGACGAACCAACCAAACTGCAAAGTTTGTGCTAGAGCCATGAGCCGTTGCGGGAGGGGCATTTCAGGCGGTGGTTGTGGAGCCATGATTGTTGCTGTGTTTTTATTTTTAAAATACTTTTTCTGTTAATGTTTCCCGGAAGGGCTTTGCGTGTCGTTAAGGATACTGTTACGATGGCTTTATCCGTCGAGTTGGGGAAGGGGGGAGGGGGGGGGGTGGGAGAAGGAAGGGGAGGAGAACGAGGAAGAGGACACGAAGGTGGGAGGGAGGGGAGGTTGGTGGTTGATGAAAGGCGGAACTTGTCACTTCTGGGGCCAAGGTGGTTAGGAAATGTCGTCACACAAACCCGGAGCGGAGCAAGAGATATGATACATGCAATACCTTTTCAACTCGCACGGGGGCAAAAGAGTAAGAGGAAACAGTAATGCTGGGGTGGGGAAGGGGAGACCCTATGCTGCGACCTGTACTGTACCGTACGGCACTCGAGTATGATACCGGTTCGTACAGTACCCGCACAGTGGGATACCGTACCGCTAACTCCTGAACGGATGAACAAACGGCCGCGATAACAGAACAACCTGAATACCCGTGCCATGACCCTCGATGACAATATATCTAAGCCGAACAGCGGGTCCGCCATCTCTCCCCGCACAATATTCATCTATCCTCATAATATCACGTTGATAGACTTCTACCTTCGACACTCTCTGCTCTTCAATTACCGTTGTCTTGCAAAACCGTTGTCACCGAGACAGGGACCACCACTCAATAAAGCCATCTGTCCACAAGCCGCTCGAGTGCCCTATGATAGTTCGTTGTTCCACGAGAAAGAAGGGCCTGGGGCCAAGCCCAAAAGAAGCCACCGTGACCGCTTCCCCTATGAATTTCTCGGCACCAGGGCCTATCATGCCTATTGTACGTACAAGTACACTATGATATGACCGAAACCGACCTACTAGCCACATCGCCAATAATTATTGGAACGAGCCAGGAAACAAAGAAACCACATTTCAGCATCGTCGGACAGGGATGCTGGGCGTTTTTTAACCCAGGCCGTTCGATCAACCCACGGATGTCAGGCGAGACGGTGCTACATGGACCATTCATTCCAGGCGCCCGTACTTACCACAATGAAGAGGAAAAGGGGAATGGGAAGATGGGAAGGAAAAAAAGGGAAAGTACAGTACAAAATTGATCAAGTCTGCTGAGCACATCATCTACAAAATTCTCAGGCTTTCTCTAGGAGATGCGGCCACCTCATGACTAAATCACGGCTTGACGAGATCACAATCACATCTACAACGAACATTCCCAGCACAAGGACAAGAAAAAAAAAATCAACATTATCACACCCTCCACCACCTTTTCCCATCAGTTAAGCTAAAAATGAAGAGAGAAGGAAAAAACGAAAATGAAACCCTCCGCTGGTGCTCTGGATGCTAATTTACGGTAAAACGTTTTCACGATTAAGAATCACAGTACACAGAATTGAAAGCAATAAGTGATAAGAAAAAAAAAAGATAGGGCCAAGACATCCGAAGCGTACCTACAAACACGGATTTTTGGTTTTGAAAAGATAAAGGAGACAGGAGGGAGAGACTTCAGATTCGGTACTAAAAAGAGATAATAAAAGGCCCAAGGGAAAGAAAGGAGAGTAATGAAAGATATCGAAATGAATGTCGATGGGAATCTGTAAAAGGTCGGGCCAAAGGCGGAGAAAGGAAATGCAAAAGTGTCACGTCGTAGCCCCCAAACTTCTCCAGGATAATTACTTCTTCAGCTATCATTCCCGAACCCCACCCACCATCCGAAATCCACTTGTACCACTCCACGGCCTTTAACGTAGCGAAAACCCCTTTCTCTTCCCCTTCTCCTCCAAAGGCCTTCCACTCTCGACCCTGCTCTTCTTTTCTTCCAGCTCGGCTCGTTGTCTCTGGAGCTGTTCCTTCATGTCTCTGTGACGGTCGTAAAGTTCCTGCTCGGACTGTCTGAGTTTGCTCTCCTTTTCTGCGACCTTTTGCTGGAAGACCATCTTCATTTCCGCCTCCATCTTGGCAAGCTTCTGTTCGTGGAGTGTCCTCTCCTCCTCTTGCTTGACAGCGGGGTTGACCTCCTTGAAGACACTTGGGTCCTGAGCAACACCCATAGCAGTGAGTTTATCGGAACGGTAATTCTCGTAGAGGAAGTTATTAGTATGCTCCTTAAGCTCCTCCATGTGTGTGCGGATCAACATTTGGCGCAGCTTGACGAAATCGCAGTGCTCCTCATTGTCGACTTCGATGATACCCCAAGGGTAACGACGGCCACGGACTTTACGACCGTCCGCATTGGTAACCTCAGAGTTGGCACCAACAACGGCAAACGGCACCTTCGACATGATCTCATTGTTCTCAGCAATGGTTTCATCGTCATCAAGCTCGTAACGGGGTCCCTCAAAAATCTGGATCTCGTGATGATTGATATCCGCAAGGATCTGCCACATTTGTTAGTTATTTATCCAAAAACAATCAGAGAAGGTGAACATGCCCTCTTCTTGAATTCAGCAATCTCCTCATCGGTCAAGGTATCCGCCTTGGCGATGACCGGGATCAAGTTGACCTTGGTGTGGAGCCTTCGCATGACTTCGATATCCAGGGGCTTCAAAGCATGTCCGGTGGGCTGAATGAAGTAGACACAAGCATGGACTCTATTGTCAATGATGTTCATCCGGTTAACCTTATTCTCGGCTTCCAGATAGGCGTCGAAACGTTGCTCAATGTTATCAACAATTGGGCGCCAGGATTCGTCATTGTTGACAAAGTCTCCGAATCCAGGGGTATCGACAACAGTAAGGCGAAGACGAACGCCATTCTCCTCGATATCAGCTGAGATTGACTGAATTGAGACGGTCTTGGGGATGATGTCGAGGGAAGGTCCCTTGCGCTCCTTAGGGGGGTATAGAGAAGTATTGAACAAAGTATTCACAAGAGTCGATTTCCCAAGCCCGGATTCACCTTAACCAATTGTCAGCCACGCTTGTCGGTTTCCATTGTCAACCCCAACCCCCAATTCAGGGGCTAGCTCAAAAGTTCCGATGGTGAACGAAAAGGGGGAGAACAAACCGACAACCATAACATTAAAGTTAAATCCTTTTCGAACACTCTTCCTGTGCCATTGGTTAGGCAAATTGGCGAAACCAACATACCCAGTCAACTTCCGTCTCACGATGTTCTTAGCATCAGCAGAAGCCGCCTGAGCGGCAGCAAGCTTAGGGTTGGTGGATTGAGCGGCTACGGGTACAAGAGGGGATGATGATGGAGAGAATCTGGATTCCAGCTGAGAGGAATCCGGCAACGCAGAGGCGGACATGGCGGCGATAGGGGATGCAGCTAAATTGCGCGAAGCTCTAAAAGTTAGTTTCGACATTGTGTAAGTCGGGGAAGAGGAGCAGGGCAGCGACGATTAATCAGGGAAAAAGGCAGCAAATGATCAAGAAGATGCTGAATGGGAAGAAAGTGAAAAGGAGAGGTGGCGATGGAATGGCAGATAGCGCAGCTTCAGAAAAGGCACATGTGACGTGTTGGACAAACAGCCAGAGAAGCGCGTTTCCCTCCCCCCTTCTCAACCCACACCCTCCTTCCCATACTCTGTCTCTTGTCCATTCTACTCCGCGAAATTCGCTGCCCGCCTCTCCCTTCTGATACCTGGTTATCGGAAAAAAAAAATCGGGAAAATAAATAAAGATGAACTGACCCATCTTGTTCTGACTTCCTTTCAAATCTACCTCTTAAAGCAAAGCTATAAAAGGGGTGCGAAGAAGATTAGGATGGGTAAAATCTGGAGATGAAACGAATGTCAGCAGAGATGTAAAGCTATGTTACAATGCAGGTGTAAGGTAGGCGGATATTGGAAGGAGGGGGGGGGGGAGGAGGGAGGGAGGGATTAACACGTAAACTAAGCGTTCACACAACACCGATCAGCAATAGAAGGGGGAGATAGGGAAGAAAAAAACACACATACACGCGACAATTGCAGCAGAAAAGCAATAAAAATGAAGGAGCTAGATCCCTTCTATCAATGAGAGTTGTGGGAGAGAAAATAAAATATAGAACCCTCGACGGATGAAGACGGGAGGGATAGGGAAGTAACGGTTGAGAAGCAGCACCGGCAGTACAAACAACCCGAAGTACTGGGTGAAGATGGATGAATGGGGGAAGGGGGGGGGGGTTGGTTGAGAGGTGAAGAAGGCACGAGCAGAGGAGGAGGAGGAAAAAGGGAAAGGTCTGGCTCGAGCTTACCGTAGGAATAGGAAGAGGCAGAAGGGAGAAGGGAGAAAGGAAAAAAAAAAGGAAAACAAGGGATGTGTGTGGGTGTGTGGGTGTGAGTGTGTGAAGTGCTGGGTAGGTCTGGTTTGTGCGGCGCAACGATCAACGGATGTTCTGTCTGTCTTTCTACGGTGCAATACAAAAGAAGCATGTAGCGAGAGCAATGAAAACTCAACCTTCAACCTTTCCACCCTTTAGAGAGAGAAAAAGGGGGGGTTCACCGATCCAGAAACGGCCGAGGGAAAAATGGAGGGAGCAAGAATACCGCAGAGGGACTGTCTGTCCGTCTGTCGGTGTCCATGCCAAGCTCCAGTCCCACGGCTGCGTTAAGTTACAGCGCTGTGTGCATTTTATTTTTCCCCTGAGAATACAAGTACCGGTAGCCCAGTTAATCCCTTCATTTCTTCTCCGTGCCCTAATTTACTGTGGTATGGTATTGAGGGTAAAGAAATGATGGACCAGATCCTCCTACCTTTGATACCTATCGTATCATATCGTGCGAAAGGGGGGGGGGGAATATCGCGGCCAATTGTATGCGTTGAGAGAAACCGCGCCAAATACCGGTACCTCAATTCCTCCTGCTTGCTCGCCGCGCCTGCCAGCTCGTTAGTTAAATATTGTGGGGTGTCATTATACTTTACTTTGCATCGATGATATAATTGTATTAACATCGCTTTACCGAGTTTCAACAACCAGGGTCTTGACGCCCCCCCCCATTTGAGACACAGTACTGTACTCGAGTACAGGTACTGAAGTTCGGAACCCTGATTCAGCCTCCATTCATTCCTTTGGTTCCTGTTTGAAGATTGAAGGGTGTCAATACCTTATCGTCCAAAAGAAAAGAAAAGAAAAAAAAAGAGAAAGAAGAGCCTTAAAGGGAGCAACGCAATGCTGCAGGTTGATTT